CCCCCCCCCCCCAGAGTTGGGCCTCAAAGCACATAAAGGGAGTGTTTGTCCATTTGTAAGCTGGGTATCTGCCGAGGCTGGGATGCAGACATTGGGGCAGAGAGGCAAGGTGTCCAGAAATGACTCGTTCAGGTTAGAAAGTCAGCTCCGAGGCCAAAGAACTTTGGGCTAGATCAAGAGGGAGCTGAATTCCAGGCTAAGAGCTCTTTTAGGGGTAGCAGGGAGCCACAGAAGGGTGAGGAACAAATGACTAAGGTGCCTGTGTTGTACTTTAATAAAACCCCTCTGGGCTGGAAGCCTGCATCGTGCCCCTGGGTGGGGCGACAACGACCTCCTTCTTTGCCCAGCCTCTCCCGCCTGCCAGGTGGGCACCTTGAGAGTGCTAGGGAGATCTCATTATCAATATCCCAACTACTTTTTGTTGTGTTAGGGCACCCTGGGATCCATGACCCCAGCTGGTGGGCAGACCAGCATACCCCCTCAGAGTTCTCTCCCCGTCACTATTTACTGCAGGTGCATGGCAGGGAATGGCGGGGGCAGGGGAGGTTCCCGGAAGCCAGCAACTAAGAGCCAAGATGGCTCCATGTGCCCCCCCCCCCAACTCCACCCCATCCCTTACCTTCAACCGCTGCTGAAGCTGGCCCAGTTCCCATCGGACACTGGTGTTCTCCTGGGTCACTTTCTCTCGAAGACCCTTCTCAAACACAGACTCACCCAGAGCCTGGGCCAGCTGCATGTCAAACCTGTTCAAGCAGAGCAGATGTCATGGCACTGGGGCAGAGGACGAGGAGGGCTGGAGAGAGGTGGTTAGCTTGCTGAGAACCGTGAGGCAGAGAGAGGGGGCCCCAGACGACGGGAGGTTTTGCTCCGTGCTTTTGCGTAAGGTTGCGGACGTGCGGTTGAAATTTGCAGCGCCAGAGAGCAACTTTTAGGGTTCACGTGGAGTTTCGGCAAAAGTAGTGGAGATTTACATAAAACACAACATGCATAAGTAAAAATAATAGAATAAAAGTATATACAGATACGGGAAAAGAATTTAAAAAAAACTTACAGAGCGATAGAAAAATCGCACCTATCTGGTTTGCCCATATATGCCAGGAAATTGTTAAATCTACAAGACCTAGGTTGGGGGGGGGGTCTCGCACTCATTGACCCGTGAAGGAGTGAATGCATATATCTGCACAAACAAGAGATATTTTACATTTCACACCCTCTATATCATCTGGTTTGGGCACGCATACGTTGCATTAGAGCACTGTAATTACTGATAAAAGGTTGGACATTAATACATTCGGTGTGGTCCTCATTTGCCATCTCAGAAAAAAAAACACGAAGACTAGCCTGTCCTCTTGGGGGCTGGCCAGAGAATTAGGAAATGCCTCATTTGGGGGCTCCCTGCCCCTCGCCACTGGGTGAGAAGAACTTCCTGGATTCGATATCATTCCATGCAGTTACCTTGGTCCTATATCCCTATCACAGATGAGGAGATCAGTACAGGAGGCTTTGGCAAGCCTCAATAAGATGTGATCTTGGTCACCTGCCCTTGGCCCACACAGAAAGTGCCACTGCTCCAGGGACCTTGGTATGGCCAGAAGGGTTAAACTGGGCATGGGGTTGGGGTCTTAGTGAGAAGAAAGTCCCCCTTGTTATAAGATTATCCAATGTATCTCAAAGCTAGATGGTCATTCAAAGCCTCAGACTCCTGAGAAAGCCGATCATGGGTCACAGGAGGGGGTCCTCCTGTTGGAAGAGCCCAGGAGTTTTCTGATTGGCCATTGGTGACATCATTCAAGAGGCGCCCCCGGCCGCCCCTGTGAATGGAAACGTTGTGATGGTGATAATGACCCAGGAGTCCCAAGGTGCTGGGCTCTGGGCTGAGGTCCATGTGGTCTTTATAACAATTCAGCAAGAAACATGTAATGATATCCATTTTATAGAAGAGGAAACTGAAGTTCAGAGAGGCAGAGCGATTCGTCCCTAAATTCCAAAGTGGCCGAGGTGGGCTTGAGCCCAGCTTCTCTACTGTCTCAGCTAGTCCCCCATCTAACTGGGGCAGGTGGGATAAGGCAGTGGGGGCCAGACAGTGACCGATGTTTCAGAGGAGACCTTGACTTAACAGGCCACCCGATGCCAAAGAATGGCTCCTATGGACTCCAGCTTCTGGAACACACTGAACGACCACCTGCCTGAGGCCAGAGGGATTCACACACATGCCTCACCCCACTAGAAGCAGGCCTGGGGTCTAACTTCCAGTATGTGTGGGAGTTGGTGAGCCCAGCACAGGCCCCACCCCAAGGAGACAGGCTCGGAGCTCCATCGGCCCTCGGAACCGAGCTCTGTGACCCATGGGGTAACCGTGGCAACTATTAGCCAAGCCCAGATGGAGCCACTTTGGGCCACTCTGAACTTGGAAACCACGTTGGGGACAGGGAACTCCCCTGCATGGAGACATCAGTCCATCCAGGGCTCAGCAAACTAAGGAGGCGGCTACCTCTGCGATTTGATTAAAGTTGGAGAGATTATGAAGAAGTATTGCTGACTTCTAGATCTTTCCCTCCCTATGGTTATTTTGCCCAGATTCCTACTTAGGCCTCTAGCCTCCCTGCTATATTGCTGGACCACCTAGAAGGAAAATGGCTGCCATTTGCAACGGGCGTCAAAACATGAATTAACTTCTGCCAGGGGATGGTAGAGGGGTAGGGAAGCATCACAGGACAGGTAAGTCTTGGAAGGAAGAAATGGGATCTTTCCCAGGAGGGCGCCATGGGGAGGTTCTTGAGAGCCTGGAATGAAAGATTCTGACCAAGGGGGTCGGGAATGACCAGAGAGATGGAATTTTCTGGCTGCATAACCTCCACAGAGAGCCCCCAGGCCCCTCAGAGAGCGGAAACCCTACCTAGAGCCTCTCAGAACAGGAACAGAAACCACAGATGAAAGCCAACGCTGTCACAGCTGGCAGAAACTCAGGGGATGTTAGAGTCCCCACCTCTCAGTTTGCAGATAGGGTCTGTCGGAGCTATTATTCAGCAACAGGTGGCCTGCTTAAGTCAAGGACTCCTCTGAAACATCGGTCTCTCTGGCCCAGAGAGGTGGTGTCATTTGACAAGGTCACACAGGAACTGGCCAAGGAAAGACAAAGCCATTTTCCCCACTGCAAGGACAAGGTTCAGCCAGAATACCCAGGCAGGTGGAAAAGGAAACAGAGTCAGATTATCAATAAAAGATTAAATAACCTCTCTCATTTGAGGGGGGCATGCTAACAACCCCCCAAAGACTTTTTGTTTTCACATGAAGAAGTCAGCTCAGAAAAGATCAACGTGATAGGGCACCTGGGTGGCTCAGTCAGTTAAGCATCTGACTCTCAGTTTCGGCTCAGGTCATGATCTTGTAGTTTGTGGGTCTTAGCCCCGTGCCTGGGTCAGCACTGAGAGTGCGGAGCCTGCTTGGGATTCTCTCTCCCTCTCTCTGTCCTCCCCTGCTCGTGCTCTCTCTCTCTCGAAATAAATGAACTTAAAAAAAAAGAAAAAAGAAAAGCTCAGAGTGAGAGAAAGAATATTTAAAAAAAATTTTTTAATGTTTATTTATTTTTGAAGGAGAGAGACAGAGCGTGAGCGGGGGAGGGGCAGAGAGAGAGGGAGACACAGAATCAGAAGCAGGCTCCCAGCTGTCAGCACAGAGCCCGATGCGGGGCTCGAACTCCCAGACCGCGAAATCATGACCCAAGCCTAAGTCGGACGCTCGACCAGCTGAGCCACCCAGGCGCCCCATACAGGAAGAATATTTAATTATGCAGACCCAAGTTCAAAATCCGTGCCCCTCCCATGAAAATATAATTCAGCTTGCCACCTCTTGGAAAAGAAGTGCCTTGAGCAAAACCACATCCTAGTCACATTTTCCAGTATTTTTAGTCCAGACTGTCTGAAAGAGACTGTGTCTCGTCTATCATTAGAGGTGGTCTGACTCCAGACAGGACCCCTCCCTGCACACCATCACCCTCACCAGCAAAGCTGCAGAAGTCAGGCACAGCCAGGGTGTCCAGGGATTAGATGAGCACAGGCACTGAGGTTTCGCATGTGCAAACTCATGGGTGCCAGTCTAGGCTCTACCATTTGCTGAGCTATGACCACATCCCGACGGGAAAGCAAGCGTGGGAACCAGAGTGCAGGGTGCAGCTTCGAGGCTGGCATCTCGTTCATGCACAGGGCCCTGCCTACGCCAGAAGTGCTCATGTGATCGGAGAGCCTAAGTGCCGACTGAAAAGGGAAGTGAGTCGATTTGGGGCCTCCCCCATTCTCTGGCCCCATTTTCCGCAACGGGGCTAGGAGCCGGGATTCAGTCTGTCGAGCCTACCAACCCCATCACTTAGTCCTCGCTACAATGGGGCATTCCCATCCCCCACCTAAGGGTGAGGAACCGAGGCTGAGGGGGTTGGATGACTTCTCCAAGGTCATACAACTAGAGAGAGGCACAGCTCGGACTTGAACTGGGGTGGTCTGGCATCAGCCCTTGCTCTCCCGCCCACCGTGCTCGGGTGTCCTCGCCCTCCACGGCCATCTCTTCACTTGACAAAGGGGGGTGCTGAGGCCCAGAGAGGCCAAGAAAGCTCCCCAAGGTCACACGGTCGATTGGTTGTAGAGCGAGACTGGGGAACAGAAAAGAATGGCTTTTTGCTGCATGCTTGGGAGAAGCCTCCAGGAGTAAGTGTGAGGGGTGGGAAGGAAAATGGGGGCAGAACGAGGGGTGAGGGGTTCCACCTTGTGGATGAGGAGCCCCGGCAGGGGTGAGGGGGCTGAGGAGGAGAACCTGGAGGCCCCCAGGAGGCCCCAGCACTGACGCAGCCCACCCTGGAGCCCAGCGACGGCGTGAGACGCAACTCACTTCTTCTGCTTCTTCTCGAGCTCGTGACTCCGGCTTTGCTGGTCCTCCAGCTGGAGGCGGGTGTCCTCCAGGTCACAGGTCAGATGGTGGCACTTCCTCTTTAGCTGGTGAGCCATTTTCTTGGCCCCTTCATAAGCGCTCTGCAGCTCCCCGAGCTGTGGGAGTGAGTCACAGAATGAGCCACCCCTCTCCGCCCGCACTGGACGGGCTTTCCTCTTCTTCTTCTTCTTCTTCTTTTCTTTAATCACAACAGCGTTTTTATTTATTTATGTTTAATTTCATTTTTTATTTTTTAAAATTTACATCCAAATTAGTTAGCATCTAGTGCCACAATGATTTCGGGAGTAGATTCCTTAGTGCCCCTTGCCCGTTTAGCCCATCCCCCCTCCCACAACCCCTCCAGCAACCCTCCGTTTGCTCTCCATATGTATGAGCCTCTTCTGTTTTGTCCCCCTCCCTGTTTTTATATTATTTTTGTTTCCCTTCCCTTGTCTACTTCTTATTTCAAGCAGCTGCCATTTCTGAGGTGAGCACAGTGGGAAAGAGAACAGGTACTGGGGTCAGAGAGACCCTGTCTTGACCACTTTCTGCCTGTTTCCCAGGGAGGAAGCTACTTCTCTGACCCCGTCTGCTCAAGAGGTGAGAAGGGGGCGGGGGTGATTCCATCAGTCTCTCAAGGTTGTTTTTAATTTTACTCAATAATCTTCCTGCCAAGGTGCCCCATAGAGTCTTTACAAGCCCTGCCTCCAAAGGAAGACTGAGGGCTGTATACCTAATAACCCCAGCAGCTGGCATCATCCCAGAGCCCATGTGGGGATTAGCCATGGAGCAGCCAAAATGGCGGCTGTAGAAGATCTGGCCAGGAGATCTGAGAGATGGGCTCTGAAGGTTAGAGCAGTAAATGGCCCTTCCGACGGGCTGAATTACACGGGGTTACACATGACCGTGAACAAACAGAAAAGCAAAGCCTCTTGCATCTTTCTCGAGGAACCCCCCCCCAAATGTCCTCGTTTGAATCTGGGAGAGAGGACAACTCAGCACACTCGCTTTGAAGAAATGGCCTCATTAAAGAATTTCTTTAAATAAGCAAAACTCTGAGTTAATGAAGCCTGTAATTCTAAATTCAGTATTTGATGGCAAATGGGATGTTTTCTTATATTCTGCTGCTCAGGAAAGGTTGCAGCTTTATTACTTTTTAATGCAGCATGAATAGCCCGCCCCCCCCCATTCCTTGGGGAACCTGACCCGCCTTTATAATTTGTTATTAAAGAACTGTGCTATTTTCCTGCAGTTGGGTTTAGCCACAGCTCAGGATGTTCTTGGGGAGTAGACATAATGCCCTTCTGGGAAGTGACCACTAAAACCATCAACACCATGGAGGATCCTGAGTTTCACTGCCATTATTTATCAAATCCCATGTGATCTCACCCTGGCCCACCTCTGCAGGTGATTACACAACGCTTTTCTCTCACACTGAGGAGATAGATATAGATTAGATATAGATATAGATATAGATATAGATGTAAATATAGATATAGATAATGGCAAGACAGGCAAATATGGCCTCCATTTTCAAGGCGCTTACGACTAAAGGTGGGGAGGGACCAAGAAGTAAGCAGATAATTACAATACACCATGATGAGGTTTATACTTGGGGACCCAATTCAGAGGCACCCAAACAATCTGTATCAGGGGAGACTTTCTGGTGGGAAGGACATGTAAGCTCAGATCTTAAAGATAGTTGAAAGTATCCAGGTAGGAGAGAGAGAGTATTCTAGGAAAAGGAAACAGCATGTGCAAAGGCCCAGAGGTGAGGAAGAACAAGGCAGTGCAATGGAACAGGATAGACAGCCCAGAAATAGACTCAGAGAAATCTAGACAAGTGGTCTTTCACAAAGGGGCGAAGCTGATACAATGAGCCAAACAGTCTTTTCAACAAACGATACTGGGACAACTTGGTCATCCACGTGCAAAAAAAAAAGAGAATCTTAACACAGATCTCACACCCTTCACAAAAATTAACTCAAAATGGATCATAGACCTAAATGTAAAATGCAAAACCTTGAAGTTCCCAGAAGATAATGTAGAAGAAAACCTTTATGACCTTAGGTTTGGCAATGACTTAAAAAACATTTTAAATGTTTATTTTTGAGTGACAGACACAGAGCATGAGCAGTGGAAGGGCAGAGAGAGAGAGAGAGAGAGAGAGAGAGAGAGAGAGATAATGAATCTGAAGCAATCTCCAGGCTCTGAGCTGTCAGCACAGAGCCTGACACAGGGCTTGAACTCACAGAGTTCGAGATCATGACCTGAGTCGAAGTTGGATGCTTAACCGACTGAGCCACCCAGGCGCCCCTGGCAGTGACTTTTTAGAAATGCACAAAAGCCATGACCCATGAAAGAAAGTTTATAAGCTGGACTTCATTAAAATTTTAAAAAAATTCCACGCTGCAAAAGACACAATCAAGAAAATGAAAAGACAAGCCACAGACTGGGAGAAAATATTTGCAAAAAAGCCTGTCAGATAGAAAATTGTTATCAAAATTATACAAAGAACACTTAAATCCAACAAGAAAACAACTCAATTTTAAAAATGGGACAAAGATCTTAGCCGTAGAAAGAAATGAGCTATCGGGGTGCCTAGGTGGCTCCGTTGGTTGAGCATCCAACTTGATTTAGGCTCAGCTCACGATCTCGTGGTCCTGGGATCGAGCCCCGCATGGGGCTCTGCACTGAGCATGGAACCTGCTTGGGATTCTCTCTCTCTCTCTCTCTCTCTCTCTCTCTGCCCTTCTCCCCTGCTCTCACTCTCTCTCTCAAAGAAAAATTTTTTTAAAAATGAGCCATCAAGCTACGGAAGGATGTGGAGGTAACTTAAATGCACATTACTAAGTGAAAGGAGCCAGTCTAAAAAGTCTACATGCTGTAGGATTCCAACTATAGGACATTCTGGAAAAGGCAAAAGTATGGAGGGATGAATTGGTAGAGGGGTGTACTGATAAAGCGGAGAGGATTTCTATGGTAGTGAAAATAGTCTATAAAGCTACGATGGTGGATACATGCCATTATACATTTGTCTAAACCCACAGAACGTACAACGACAGGAGAGAACCCAACGTAAACTATGGACTTTGGGTGATGATGGTGTGTTAATGCAGGTTCATGCATTGTATCAAGTGGACCACTCTGGTGGGGGATGTTGACCATGCAGGAGGCTGTAAAGGGGAATCATGGGAGAGTACCTTCCACTCTATTTGGCTATGGGCTTTAAACACGTGAGTGTGGTTGGACCTGGTGTGCTAGGGCTGGTATACCCACTTAGGAGAGTGGATTCTCCTCCCAGTTCCACACCCAGTGATATCACAATGGTAGGTGGAAACTGTCCCCTGTGGGAATATTTATGCCATGGACATTGGAAATTGGCAAACGCTACCCTTCGGGGTGTTTATTTTCAGAGGGCCAGTTGCCAGCACACTGCTAGTTGAAGGGTAGACTGGTCAGAATGTACGAATAGGGGTAGTTGGAGACAATGCAACACAGGCAAAGAGGTCAAACTATCCCTCCATTCACCTAGAGAACGCGAGGGACAAATACATTATATTTGTAACATCCAGCTGCACATTCAAGAAAGAAAGGGAAATTTGGGGATACCCAAAATGCAAAGGACACAAAACGAAAGCAGTAATCGCAGACGCTGATACTCTGGCAGACAGGGTGGAGGAGAAGACGAGCCGCGGAAAGATCCAGAAATAACACTGAAGATAATGGCTGTGTTTGAATGGCCAGACAGGGACGAGAGACAAAGCCTCGGGGGCACAGAAGATGAAAAGTTGGAATGAATACCCCTGCATTCATTCAGGACCCTCAAAGACATGGGCCTTGGGGCAAGGGGACAGGAAATGATCCACCCACTGGCCTGGAAGGTGGTCAGAAAACCTGGTGCACTCTGGCTCTGGGTGGGGGAGAAAGTATTCCCCTAAGAAATCCAAACCCCGGGTCTGTGCCTCAGGGGGGTTTAAAGCTCCAAGTGGCACCTGGCACAAGTTGCAACAGTCTGAAATGGAGAGAATGTCACATAGTCTCAGGGGCTACTGTAGAAGACAAGGCAAAAGTGTCCCATCTCGAGAGAGACACTCACAACCCTGTAAACAGAACTGCCATGAAAAGCAGTAAAAAGTTTTTAAAAATTTCAAAGTAAGATCAACTGACAATACAAAATAATGAAACACACACACACACACACACACACACACACGCACAATTCACCGTAAGACAGGAAGCAAAAGGAACATTCCACCATGCGGACCACCTGGGGTTCCCGTGGCAGGAGTAGAGGGGCATGTTGAAGATGAGCTCACAATCAAAACTGACAAAACACTCAAGAAAACGATCCGCCCTGAGAGTCAGCGTAATTTGCAAAGACAGAACAGTCTGAAAAAGACTCTGAAAGATCTCTTGGCCGCAGTGTGGCAGGTGGTTGAGGGGAGAGGCTGGAGGCAAGGAGACCAAGCAGGAGGCTGTTGCTCTGGTCTAGATGAGAGATGGAGGTGGCAGATTGAGGCAAAGGGAATGGATAAGATTTGACTATTCTAAGGGCTTATTAAAATCATTTTATAGAAGAGAAGATCTGAGGCCCAAGATCTGAGGTTCTTTATTCCAGAGTATTCTTTCCCCATGCAGAACACGCACACGTAGACAAAGTATTTCCCACCTCCCACAGCAACTCGCATTTGTAACAACAGTGGAGGTGCCAAAACATGAAATGGGGGTGCTCTCTTTCTCCCTCCCCAGGTTCGGCCAGTACCTTGAACGGTGGAGGTAGGAACCTGCCCAATCTGACATTCTTGGGACCCAGACTAGCTATGACCTCTTACCTTCTGCTCCAGCTCTTTCCTGGATGTCAACTCGGAGTCCAGCCTCTCTTCAAATTGCTGTAGACGCTTCCGCAGGAAGTTGTTCTCCATCTGAGCACAGTCGAACCGCATCATCCATTCATCCGCTATTTGACAAAGTCAGGGAGGCCAGGATGGGAGGCTAGGTGAATCAGGGTGGTTCTCTCACACTCTCTTAGCTCTTTGATCATAATTTCACAGTATAGAGTTCCTGAGGCTTGATCTTGGACTTTAGGTTAAGAAATTCTGCTTTAAGTCCAAGGTTTTTTTAAAAAAAAAAAAACACTTCTTCCAGGAAGCCTGTCCTGACCACTTCTGGTTGTCTAAAGTCATACCGTTCATTCCTCTACAAGCATACATATACTTTCCTTCTTCCAAGGAAATCTCATGACCTTCGAGGACCGGAGAGATGTTTTAGTCATGTATAGATCCTCAACACCCTCTAGGAGTGTCCCCTACCCACACAGAATATTTCCCCATATGTGATGATACAAGTTCACCAACTGGAATCACCTTACTGGCCAACCACCTTGGGTGGGATAGTACATACGCAGTGACTTTTGGTTAAATTATTTAATAAATAAACATTGAATAATAATTAAGGAGTCTACTGAATACATAGCAACAGAGGCATTGGTCCCAAGTTGCCTCTATGAGAGAACAATCCCTTGATTTAGTTTAAAAAAAATCACTTGCTGACGTGATGAAAACTGTTTGCATGAATAGAATGGGCTAGACCAGGTTAGGATGTCTTTGGATTTTCTGAGTAATAGAGTAATGCCCCTTAAGGTAATGGAGCTGTGGGAGACATTCCATATGTGGACAGCTGAAGATAGAGACCACTTCATTCATCTTTCCATCCGTCCACCCATCCATCTCTCCATCCATCCATACCTTCTTCCATCCATCCATCCACCCATTCCTCTCACCATCTATCCATTCATCCATCCATCCATCATCCATCCATCCATCCATCTCTCCATTCATCCATCCCATCCATCCCATCCATCCATCCATCCATCCATCCCATCCATCCCATCCATCCATCCATCCATCCATCCATCCATCCCATCCATCCATCTCTTCATTCATCCATCTATCCACCCATCTCTTCATCCATCCATCCATCCATCCATCCACCTGTCCATCCACCCATTCCTCTCACCATCCATCCATCCATCTATCCATCTCTCCATCCATCCACCTGTCCATCCATCCATCTCTTCATCCATCCATCCATCCATCCATCCATCCATCCATCCACCTGTCCATCATCCATCCATCATACATTATTCAATTTACCATGCACTGAAATGCCCACTGAGCAACACTACTTCATACCAGGCACAAAGGATAATGAAACAAATAAACCACTGTATCTTCCAGCAGAAATCTAGTGGGGGAGACAACATACAAAAAGACAGCTGCAATCTAGAATGATCAGAACTCTCGTAAGGCAAGCTTAGGGAACTCCAGAATAGAATTCAAACTTATTAAAGCAGCAAATGTTTTTGTTCATCATTGTGTCTACAGGACTTACTACAATGCCTAGCATATCATAAATGCCTCATAACTTTCACTGGATAGGTGATGGATATTAGGGTGGATGGATAGGTCAGTACTGGGATGGACAGAAGGAAGGAAGGAAGGAAGGAAGGAAGGAAGGAAGGAAGGACTCTTGGATAGATGGTAGGACTCAGGTATTAGAAGAGGTGACCCCAATAGGGACTCCCACATAAGTAACCCAACCAGGATGATATAGTTGTAAGGAGTTAGAGCTTGTTCGAGTTTCCACTAAGGTAAATAATATCATGGTGGAAAAAGTATCCTGTCTCCCGACCAGGATTAAAAAAAAAACCTGAAACAGCAGATAGCTGCAAAAGGAGGAGAAAGCAGAAAGCATTTCCGCACCTGTGCATGTGTTCTGCGCTAAGATGTGCTACAGAGCAGCTGGTAGGAGTTGTCAACATGAGCAGAGGAGAAAACCATTCTCCATTCTTCAACGCTGCTTTCTCCTGCCAACGCCCCTCCCTGGGGGCGGGTGGCGGGGTGCATTCTTTTCTTTAAAATAAATTTTTAATGTTTATTTATTTATTTTGAGAGCGAGAGAGCACACGAGCAGGGGAAGAAGGGCAGAGAAAGAGGGAGAGAGAATCCCAAGCAGGCCCCTCGCAGTCAGTGTAGGGTCCCCGGTGGGACTTCGAGCCCACGGGCCATGAGATCACGACCTGAGCCGACATCAAGAGTCGGAGACACCATAAAAGGGCCTCTTCAGATACCCCACCATGCATGGTGGGAAAACAGCTACGTTTTTCATAATCGATACTCCGGCTCCATCCATTGAGGAGCTGTGGTGGCATCGCTCGGGTGTGATTAAAGTGTTTTATTGCTCCTTTTGACTTTCCTATATTTAACATTTTTTCCTGTAATGAGCATGTATCGCTTTCCTCATGGAAAACAAAATATTTGTGGATTGGCTTCCTGGAATGAGCCTCCAGGGCTGAGAGCCTCTATAGCATCGTGACGAATGTGCTCGCGAGCAAAGCACACCTCCCCCTCCCATCCAGTTCCCAGATCCTCCCAGAGAAAAACGAACTGGGGACTAGCGTGGGGGGGGTCTCAGTCCCAGTCGGGATGGAACTGGGGCCATGCTCTTCTGGGGGAAACTTTGCTGTCCTACCTCTGGTTCTGTAAAAACCCATTTCCTCTCTCCCTGCTTGTACTGAGTGTCGTGTGCCAGAGAACCCCGAAACTCCTCTGTAGATGCCTGCCCTGGGGGTGGGGGTGGGGGGCAGGAAGACAGGAAGCAAGAGGGGAGTGAAAAGCAAACGCACTTTGCCTCTTCACCGCCTCCTGACCTCCGTTCCTCTGAGCGTCCCTGACGTTTCTAGGGCAGACATCCTCTGGGGGCATGGAAGAAAGAATGTCAACGTTTTATAAAAGCTGACAGACACACCGGGCATCCTTGTCCCCTGACTCATTTAGGCTGGGGAGAGGAGTTGACGGAGATGTCACCATGCCCGTTGAACCATGAGATGTGAGCCCCCAGGCAACTCCAGAAGCCCGGCTCCACCAGAAAACCCCGGCTCTGCTGAGCACACCTAGCCGCTGGGCAATTCAGGGGCCTCGCCTTCTCTTCATCCAGTAACTGCTGAGCGCCTGGCACCACTCTCAAATGGGGATGGTATGGGGCACGTGGGTGGCTCAGTCTTGATTTCGGCCCAGGTCATGATCTCGCGGTTCCTGAGTTCGAGCCCCGCGTTGGGCTTTGCGTTAACAGTGAGGAGCCTGCTTGAGATTCTCTCTCTTTCTGTCTCTGCCCCTCCCCTGCTCTCTCTCTCTCTCTCAAAAATAAATAAACATTTTTCAAAATGGGGAGGGTAGTAGTTTCTGTGCCACAGCCTACGAACATGGATGGATGATGACCCCACTACAGCATTAGCAGTAAATGAAGTCACCATGCACGTGGCGTTAACCGCTTTCCATCAACCGCCTTTCCTATCAATCCATCCATCTGAAAGACGAGGGAGCCAAAGCACACATTTCTCTGCCCAAAAGCCACCCACCTCAAAGAGATTCAAGTCCAGATTCAAATCCAGAAATGCCATTTCACAGATGCTGCGTGTAACCACCGAAATGCCTTAACCTAAAATCCATGTCGTATATATCAAAACTATTCATGTAATTGTAAAGGGGCCTTGCCATAGAGTCACTGTTGTTTGGGTCGTTCTTTGCGTTATTACTGACCTGTACCTGTCACCTTGATAAAGGACTATCTGGGATATTGTTGGCTTCTCTGTTTAATGTCTGCACCAGACCGGAAGCTCCAGGAGGGCAGGGCTGTGGCCGTTTGCTCTGACAAAATGACAGCCCCTGATGCAGCCTCTGGGGCATACTAAGTGCTCAGGGCGAACGACTGCATGGATGAACGAATGAATGGAACAAAAGGACGGCATGTTTTTCACCCCTGTCTAATCCCGAGAGTCCCGGTTTGCTTACCTCCTCCTGTGTGGCTCCTTTCCAAGTCACCCAACTGAATTTTCTGCTGCGCTTCTCCCAACTGCTTCTGCACTTCTCCCAAATTCTTCTGGACTTGCTCATACTTGCTCTGGAAGAAAGGCCCCAGGGTGTCAAACTGGAGCCCAGTGCAGCCTGGGCCTGGCCATCCCCCACCCCCTATGGTGGCTTGGTAACCAAGGACTGTCTACCCTTTACATAGTCCTCATCCAAGGCACCTCCAAGGTCAAGGCTTAGGAAGACACAAATGTCCTCCAGGACCTTGAACATGAGAGTCAGTAAGCCACTGCCTCTTGCTTATAGGCTTCTGGCTCCCACATGTGAGCAGACAAGGAGGCGGGTAGACCCAAAGGCTCCCAGCCACCCTGCTCAGCCACACCCGCCACCACCCCTGGGCCACCCACCTTCAGCTCCTGGACCTCCCGGAAGGCCCGCAGCCGCTCTGCCCGCTCACTCTCTAGCACCTGGCAGGCCACGTCCCCCCTGAAGTGCTCATCAGCCAGCTCCGCGGTCAGTTCAGCAACCTGGAATAGGAGGGTTACAGCAGAGTCACTCGTGGTGAGGGGACGTCAACTCTTCTCCCCCCGGGCACCCTCCACAGGACCAGCCCGGACAAATCACGGGCTCTTGTGGCAAAAGGGCATCTCCGTGTAATGAGGCGGTTTGGGGTGTGATGGTCAGAATGTTATTGGTCCCGATGTGTTAGAATTCTTGGCCCAATGCTCACTAGCTGTGTGACTGCCCCACGCAGGATGCCTGTCTGATTCTCGGTTTCCTCAGCTTTAAGGGGTGGGGCATGACTTAGAGAATTGTCTTGACAAGTAAATGAGATAATCCACATAAAGTTAGCGCAGTGCTGGCACGTAGTAAATGTTCAATTAAAGGAAGTTATCCTGGGTGGCTCAGTCAGCTGGGCGTCCAACCCTTGATTTCAGCTCAGGTCATGATCCCAGGGTGGTGGGATTGAGCCCCACACGGGGCTCCACGCTGAGTGGGGAGCCTGCTTAATATTCTCTCTCTCCCTCTGTCCCTCCCCCTGCTTGCTCTCTCTCTTAAGAAAAATAGAAATTAAAAAAAAAAAAGTTATTCTAGCAGAAGCTCTCCTTACGCATCCTTCAGCAAGCCATTTTGCTGGACGGATCAATGGGCTCCCCTTGGCAAGACACACAGGTGCTCACCGCACAAGAACGCCCTCAGCTAGGAAACCTCTCTGTGGCTCCCCGTGATCTACCTGCCTCCACCAGGGGACAGCCATGCACACCCAGTGCTGGTTGTGTGTGTTCCCCACCCATTTATGCCTGTTACATTTCTTCTGTAATTACCGATTCAATTAGCTCTTGTATATACCTATAAAACACGACCAGGCCAGGAGTTTCCACGAAAACTAAATGGAACGCGTTGGAAGAAATAATACGAGTTGTTTCTCAAAACTCTTAAATTAAATCTGTGGGGCACCTGGGTGGCTCAGTCGGTTAAGCTTTCAACTTCAGCTCTGGTCATGCTCTCACGGTTCATGAGTTCGAGCTCCGCATCCGGATCTCTGCTATCAGCACAGAACCCGCTTCAGATCCTGTCTCCCTCTCTCTCTCTCTCCCTCCTCCTCCTCTTCCTCCTCTGTCTCAAAAAAAAAAAAATTAAAAAAACTCTTAAAATTTGTTTTTTTAATGTTTGTTTTTTCTTGAGAGAATGGAGACAGAGTGCAAGTGGAAGAGGGGCAGAGAGAGAGGGAGAGAGAGAATCCCAAGCAGGGATCCTCGCTCAGCACAGACCCCAACACAGGGCTCAATCTCAAGACCACAAGATCACGACCGGAACAGATATCAAGAGTCGGACACTTAACCGACATGAGCCACCCAGGTGCCCCCAAACTCTTAAAATTCTAATTTTTAAAATGCATGTGTCTTGTCAAACAGTTTCAGGTGCCAAACTTATTTTTAAAAAAGGAAATTAAAAAATTCGGCTTATGCATTCAAACTACTTTTCCATTTGCTCCGCTTTAATGATATCAAAGCTGGAAATCACACGGTCACATGTTAGGGGCATGGTTTAAGAAAGGAAGAATGTCTCAAGTCAGGTGCTCATACTCTGAAGGCTGTGGTCCAGAAATAGCGTGAGTTGTAGTCACGTTCAGGGGCAAAAATAAAAATGTTTATATCTTAATGAAATCCAACTTGTGCTGACTTTTCCCCCCCATCAGTGACCAACTACAGATGCCAAATGGGTCAAGGCTTCTGTGTTATTATTGTCCCAAAGTGCAGCCTTCCAGGTTCAAGGCTTTGCCAAAGCAAATGAGGCGAGAACCCGGGAAGTGGACTTTTATGACCAAGAGGCTTAGAAATGACCTTACGCAGCAGGGTCGCTCGGGAAACGGAGACTCCCTCTATGGGGGCAGTGGTCAAAGTCAAGACAGGGAAGGAAAAGAAAACAATAGAAGTAAGGCGTGGGGTTCAAGTCCAGACACACTGCGTGACCTTGGACAAATCCCTTTCTCTTGAGCTGTGAAACGCACTGCATTAAGGAATATCCATTGTCCTGCTGGCATTCCCATCCGATGCCACAACTGTTGTGACTGAAGATGTCTACACGCTTCACTCTCCCATGAAACCCTGTGTGTGGCACCAAGGAGCGGCTGTGGGGTGTTGTCACAGACACCAAGGGGCCCTTCCGGCGTGGAATCCACCTGCCCTGCCCCCCAAGCTAGTTCCCATCAATATCATCAGCTCATAGGTGGTCTCAAAACTCATTCCTCCGCCCCATGAAGAAGGCAGATGAAAATCTGTATGTTTCGACATGAAAAACAAAAGCAAAAACAAGATATATGGCCAACGGTGGGGGAGAAAAGCAAAGTGGCAGAATAGGACGTTTGGCCCGTGCTCGTTTCTGTTTTCTTTCTACTTGTACAGAAAAAGGCACTCTCAAACTGTTAATAGGGATTTTTTTTCTTGTTTTCCTAGAAGGGTGTGGGCTCACAGGGGACTCCGGTTTCTTTACGATGCATCTCTGCACTGCTGGTAATCAGAAGAGCACAAAACAAATATCTTTAAAAACAATAGTCCCCCCAAATTGAGCTGCAAACAAATAAACCAGAGCTGCTGCTCTTGCACGTTCTATGCTGTCCCCCTTTTTCTCCCCTCCACCTGCCCATTGGCTTCCGGTCTTGGTGACCACACCAGTAGCTGCTCAGACCTACATGTGCCTTTTATAGAAATGGGGTGGGGGAGAGGCTTAGGGGGAGCATTCTGAAGTCACACAGCAAGTGAGTGGCAGAGCTGGGACGGGAGCCCAGATCCCTCTGGTCCAAGTAACCACCACTTAACAAGCCAGGGGCTCTCCCAGGGTGCACCGGGCTGTCTCTGGGGTGGGGATTCTGTTTGCTGTTCCTCCCACTGTCATCTTTAAAGCGTTCTGGGGGAAACATCTGCCCAGTAGTCCCCGGGGATGGCTGTTAAAATATTCCCAGTATATTCCTCAGTATTCCCAGAACGCCCACACCGTAACCTCTGTGGTGGGACCCGGGGATCTGAAGTTCAACACACTCCATGGTTGTCCTTAAGCACAACCAAGCTTAAGAATTACTGCCATAGAGGCCCTGGGTGGCTCAGTCGGTTAAGTGGCCAACTCTTGGCTTCGGCTCAGGTCTTGATCTTGAGGTTCGTGGGTTCGAGCCCTGCATTGGGCTCCGTGCTGAGAGCTGGAGCCTGCTTGCGATTCTCTCTCTCTCTCTCTCTCTCTCTCTCTCAAAAAAAAATTAATAAATAAGTAAACTTTGAAAAAAGAACTGCTGGCATAGAAATTGCCAGAATCTCTTCCTAATCTTGGCCTCACACCTGGCTTTAGATGGGTTAGATTTCCTTACGGGCACACAACAGCACCGGCACTGGGGGAGCGATCGTTTGCACTTGGCTCTGAACACAGGCTGGTACGATCCAGGAATGCCCAGATCATGCCCCTGATCCCCGCCTTCCCATCCCCACCACCAGCATCGAGCCTAAACACCAGGATCGTGTTCTCTCCGCCTTAGACAATTAGCATGAAATTTCATTTGTGCTAATCAGCCTGAGCAAAGGGAGCACAACATTAATTTAATGCATTAATTTTGAGTTCTACACAATCCAAGTCTGGAGTCCAAAGGACAATTAGTCCTCTCAGATTAGGGAAATGACAGACGCTTTTCCCAGAGACGAGTAGCCCCTGGCCTTCCCCTAGCCCCACAAATCCCTCTCCCTTCCTACATTTCGGGGCCCAAGGGCTTTATTCACAGAGGTGAGAGGTGGGCACCATGCCCAGAGTTATTAGGTGAGTGCAAAATGAAAACCGGTTTAATGAGGGAAGAGCCTGGTTTGCAAACCCAGAAGGGTCCTTGCCGATTACTCAGGCACCAATTAACTAGAAATTATTCTGAAAACCTCCCTGGATCCACCACTTAACGCCAAATCATCAGAAACTCTCTTTCTACTCAGGGACCATGACTCCAAAAGTCTGCCGGAGAGAAGCGGACAGAAACGGATAAATGTGCTGTACATGTGGCATAGAGTCAAATAGAAATTCTCCATATCCCATGCCCTGGCATCACGGCAGCCTGAGGGAGATGGCAACAAAACATTTGATGGGCATTAAATGCTGAGCACACGTGCGACCCTTTGGGCTGTCAATGTCACTGCTGCCTATCATTCATTATATGAGCACCGACTGTGTGCCAGGCCCTGCCTTCAAGGATCTTTCTGTTGAGCTGGGGAGATAAACCCACATGTCTGAGCCCAACCCTGTCCTTGGCTCTTATATTCAAGAGTTCTCAAAGCTCCCCAAATTGTCTGGTCTACAGAGAGCAAGCAGTGGCCTTTCACTGTGCACTTTTCTTTTTTTCTTTTTTTTTAACGTTTATTTATTATTTTTGGGACAGAGAGAGACAGAGCATGAACAGGGGAGGGGCAGAGAGAGAGGGAGACACAGAATCGGAAACAGGCTCCAGGCTCTGAGCCATCAGCCCAGAGCCCGACGCGGGGCTCGAACTCACGGACCGCGCGATCGTGACCTGGGTGAAGTCGGACGCTTAACCGACTGCGCCACCCAGGCGCCCCCACTGTGCACTTTTCAATGTAAGGAAAAGCATTGCTTCCTTAGAAGCCCTTGCAGGAGAAATAGCTCATACTCATCGGATGCTAGGGAGAGACATGTGCTAATCTCTTGCTGTGTGCCTGTCAAGTGCCTTATGAGGAGAGGATTTTTATTTCCTTTCCACAGAACGGAAAACTGAGGCATTGAGCGGTGAAATGATTTGTTCAAGGTCATGGCTGATAAGTCACACGGGGGAGTCCAGCTGAGCAGCCTGAATCCCAGGTCCTGACTCGTAATTTCAGGGCCGTCCTGTCCCACATCTGCCACCTGACTCAACGCTGGGGGTCAGCAGTACAGGAGCCTTGGTGTACCTGGGGCAGACCGGGAGGTAGCGGGTGGGGGAAAGGAGGCGAAACAGACAGCTGGGTGTGGTTCAAAGGCAAGGCCACCCACCCCCGAGGGGCCATGA